AAATATATTGTTAATCTCAACTGGCCAATAGATAAAAGGCGTTCCATAAAATACCTTACATCAGAACAATGTCATCAGATACAGTGATGACATCAGGACAATGCCATCAGATACAGTGATGACATCAGGACAATGTCATCAGATACAGTGATGTTAACAGGACAATGTCATCAGATACAGTGATGACATCAGGACAATGTCATCAGATACAGTGATGTTAACAGGACAATGTCATCAGATACAGTGATGTTAACAGGACAATGTCATCAGATACAGTGATGTTAACAGGACAATGTCATCAGATACAGTGATGTTAACAGGACAATGTCATCAGATACAGTGATGTTAACAGGACAATGTCATCAGATACAGTGATGACATCAGGACAATGTCATCAGATACAGTGATGTTAACAGGACAATGTCATCAGATACAGTGATGTTACACAATCAGGACAATGTCATCAGATACAGTGATGTTAACAGGACAATGTCATCAGATACAGTGATGACATGTCATCAGATACAGTGATGTTAACATGTCATCAGATACAGTGATGTTAACAGGACAATGTCATCAGATACAGTGATGTTAACAGGACAATGTCATCAGATACAGTGATGTTAACAGGACAATGTCATCAGATACAGTGATGTTAACAGGACAATGTCATCAGATACAGTGATGACATCAGGGCAGTGTCATCAGATACAGTGATGACATCAGGGCAGTGTCATCAGATACAGTGATGTTAACAGGACAATGTCATCAGATAAAGTGATGTCATCAGGACAATGTCATCAAATGAGTGACTGCGTGGGGCAATGGTAGCTCACTCGTCTTTCAACCTTGGCGTAAGGCATGCGGACATCTGACCAACCACGTATGATTTCGGATTCTGTCCACAGGAAGACCCCTCGCATGCTTCCATCCGTGAAATAACTAACAAGTTTTAAAACAGCTTTAATGATCAGATGCAATCAGAGACAACGATACATTTTGTTTGGTATCTTTTTGACAAGACGGACACACACTTTAGGCCGTGGTCACGTGACATACATAAAGTGACGTTTACATAACTGTGAATACAGCAATAATACTATAGGGTTAACAGCAAAATTCTTTTCATTGTCATCGCTGTTTTTTAAGGACTGAATTCACAGATGGGCTTTCTGTTATCTTACCGCAGTATCTGCCATAAAAACGTCTTACAAGCTTTCTTCAGTTGTCCAAATCGTCGCAAAGAGTAAAACGTCTGACAACAATCGCCCCCTCAATGATCCAAGACCATTGAATACTTGAGAAATGTGATTATCGCAAAAATATAGCCTAAAATAATAGTTTGTATTACATGCTTCTCATTTGCTGATCACGTAGCGATGAAGAGGAAAAACACGGGAAATGTGTTTTACAATAAATACAATTAATAAGGCTTCAAATTTTCTGAAAAAAAGTGTAATGAGACTTATTGTCCTGGAGAAACCACGTGTAATGAGACTTATTGTCCTAGAGAAACCACGTGTAATGAGACTTATTGTCCTAGAGAAACCACGAGTAATGAGAATTATTGTCCTAGAGAAACCACGTGTAATGAGACTTATTGTTCTTGAGAAACCACGAGTAATGAGACTTATTGTCCTAGAGAAACCAGAGAAACCACGAGTAATGAGACTTATTGTCCTTGAGAAACCACGTGTAATGAGACTTACTGTCCTTGAGAAACCACGTGTAATGAGACTTATTGTCCTAGAGAAACCACGTGTAATGAGACTTATTGTCCTTGAGAAACCACGTGTAATGAGACTTATTGTCCTAGAGAAACCGTCGTGTATTGAGACTTATTGTCCTTGAGAAACCACGTGTAATGAGACTTATTGTCCTAGAGAAACCACGTGTAATGAGAATTATTGTCCTAGAGAAACCGTCGTGTATTGAGAATTATTGTCCTTGAAAAACCACGTGTAATAAGACTTATTGTCCTTGAGAAACCACGTGTAATGAGACTTGATGTCCTAGAGAAACCACTTGTAATGAGACTTATTGTCCTAGAGAAACCACGTGTAATGAGACTTGAAGTCCTAGAGAAACCGTCGTGTATTGAGAATTATTGTCCTTGAGAATCCACGCGTAATGAGACTTGATGTCCTTGAGAAACCACGTGTAATGAGACTTATTGTCCTAGAGAAACACGTGTAATGAGACTTATTGTCCTAGAGAAAACACGTGTAATGAGACTTATTGTCCTAGAGAAAACACGTGTAATGAGACTTATTGTCCTTGAGAAACCACGTGTAATGAGACTTGAAGTCCTAGAGAAACCGTCGTGTATTGAGACTTATTGTCCTTGAGAAACCACGTGTAATGAGACTTATTGTCGTTGAGAAACCACGTGTAATGAGACTTGATGTCCTTGAGAAACCACGTGTAATGAGTCTTGATGTCCTTGCGAAACCACGTGTAATGAGACTTATTGTCTTAGAGAAACCACGTGTAATGAGACTTGATGTCCTTGAGAAACCACGTGTAATGAGACTTGATGTCCTAGGGAAACCACGTGTAATGAGACTTATTGTCCTAGAGAAACCACGTGTAATGAGACTTGTCTTTCTGAAGCCACTCGCACATATTGTCATAGACAAATCGGCAACACAACAGACCACACGTCCTTCAGAATTTTCCAGTCATGAGAAATGAAGTTATCAAACTGTTATTCTCCCATATTCAAATGTATCAAATATAACTACCCCAATCACTTCTCAGTAATTAATTTATGAGAAAATCACGGTAATTTGTTTACGGCGATTTCCGTGAGTATTTTTTGAGTTGTTAAATCATTGTTGTTGTTCAAAACGTAACTGGGAAACCGTGAATAATGTGAAACCATGGAAACTGATCACGGAAACATCTCAAAATATCTAACACGTTACTATTTAATGTATTATCTGTATTTGATTTCTTGGTCTGGTATCTACATCACAAACACACACACTCGCACACATACACACATTTTTTATCACAACACTTGACTGAACACATGCGAATATACATATATATATATATATTGTTTTTCGAAAATAGCATACATGTATTTCGATCTTTTAAAAATATTATAATATGTTTGCAATTTCACAGCCTTAAAAGTTTTTAAACAAACATATATACAAAAAACAAAAATGGTTTAAAATAAAATCTGGTTGTTTAAGTCCAACAGTACTTATATAAAAATGTATTGTTAAAAGATTGGTCAGTGATATAATTCTTCCATCGAACTCGTTCTCAAGCAAAATTTAAACTGCACAATAATAAATTAAACCAATATAGTATATGAATTAAGTCAACTGAAAACATCAAAATCAATGATGTATCAAAATTGAAATCGGGATGAGAATGCAGAGACAAGAAAAAGGAAGAAAATCTGAGTGAAATCGACCTGTTTGAAAATTAACTGGAATATCAAAAATTTGAATGTTATTTACCGACAGGAAGCATGATGTTTTCCCAGATAAATTGTGTTAAAAGCGTACTCTTAGTCCGTATCTACAACACTGTAATTAAAACATTCACAGCACGTTAAGGGATTAAATTTTCTTTATAAAGGAAACATGTTTGTTTGAGTTTAATTTTTAGATACTTTTCTCCAAAATCTTATCCTATAAACTTCCGCATATGAGCTTTAAATTAACCTTAGTCATTCATTCTGGTTGATTACTATAGAACGATCAAATTATGAACAAATCAAACAATAATCATCGAAAAAATATTGAAATAACCTTTTCCGTTTATACTTTATCATTAAACAACTCCCTGCCGCCCAGTAACCAGCGGTTTCTTACTGATGGGAACCTTAAAGTTTAGATAGATCATTACTTTACTGGAAAAGAAAGAAAAGAAATATATATAAATCTAATACTGACCTATTATTGAAAACGTTTTTGAAGTTATGAATCTTGTTCATCTGATGATGGTGGGCTAAAAAAACCCACCCATTTGCTACTGCTTACTGTAACCAAGCTTTGAGCAACTGGAGCCTTGCATTCATCGATATCGCCTTCATTTTCAATACTAACGATTTCTTCTTTTCCGTTTGAACCAAATTTACTTAAAGCTGGTTTTTAAATAACTAGTAAGTCCTACCCCTAATCGATGGTACAGTGTATATAAGGATATTTCAGGATGGTCCTGGTTCAATGAACTGATTTTCTCAAATACAGCATACGTCGTATATTCGAATTCCCTATCATTCGATAAATTTTATTCATAATAAAATTTTTCATCGAAAAGTACCATACTCTGTCCAATTGTCCAATAACAGATAAAGAAAGAAAGAAATTTAAGTATATAAAGTGTCTGACTGTTATAAAATCTAGATATTCTTATGCATGTAAAGCTGTTCGTATAAATAAGCGAGATCTCCAGTTACCGGAATCATTGTTGTTTATGTTTTACTACAATGAAGAGAAATTGGAACGATGTTAGTGAATTTAAAACTTGATTTTGTTCTCACTACCATTCAAGGACGGCTGGTATTTACAATGAAGTTCGTGAATTCAGTTACATCACAACTCAATAACTAAAACACCAAATTAGTTTGGACTAGAATATCAGACTGCTCAAATAAACATGGATTTTAATCTTATTTAAAATCTTATGGAAGAAAGCTCTATTACAAATCACTGCATAATGTAAAATGTCACATAACCCCTTAAATGTAAATCAGGTGATTGGTAAAATATCGCTGTGTGCAAAATAGATAACCTTGGTCAGTAGTTCCCGCGTAGAAAATATCCGCACAACATCATTATTTCGTCTTCTGATTAACGTCAAGATGATATGACAGGTACATACTGAAATACATAAAACCATATCACGTGACGTCACTTATTCCCATCGCGTGGTAATCCAGATTTCTCTACCGGAAGCAAAGGACAAAAATCAATTTCAGCGTCTGCTTAAAAGTTATGAATATCGATTTCCAGTCTGATTTCAGACCGATTGAATGAAGCATTGTTTCTGATGCATTTTATTTTGACTTGGTTCAGGTATTGTGACGTCATTTGTCATCCTGACATCATGTGTATGCCAGAGGCTTTGATTTCGTTCTGTAGAAAAGGCCAGCTTTTGCTACTGATTGAAATGTTCATTTCTGCTAAATCATGTTGGAAATACAAATGCCTCTAGTGGATGCTGTTTGGCTCACAATACATCTCGACTTCCGGCTTGCTCGCTGCATCCGCTCTTGCGCGTGCTCCTAATCTGCAAGAGACAACAATCAGTTGGTAACCAATATCTCTCCATTGTAAATCTTCAAATCAACAGACAAATACATCATTAAAACATGTCAAAAATACACCATATATCTTTCACGTATCGTGATATAACACTGACAAATCAATTTTGTCTTCACAAAAGACTTTACCGACGAGTAAGAATATCCTAAAGCTATAAGATATGTAGTTAATCACATCCATTGTGACGTCACAATTAACATTAGTATTTAGATTTATACTTGTATAGTCTTCAAACATTTTTGTATTTCACTGGAATAAGGTATTAAAGCGATCTTACACAAATTTCAACTTTCTGATTCAACTTTAATGAAACTTTCTATTTCTTTTTTAAAATGAATATTAGCTGCGAATTGAAATTTGAATATTGATTCAAAATCTTAAAAATTATTATCTTTCAAATCTAGACATCGGTTCTTGTCCGCTATATCATTCGGAACGGCAATTTTGTATCTTGTGAACTATTGACCTTTCTTACGTCATACCCGGATGTTTTTAGTCACTGGAACATGTTCTACGAGCTGGTGTAAACAAAATGTTGAAATGTGCACTTTATCTAAATGTCCCCCAAAATCTCTAACATCGGTTGTTGATTTTATCATCGAATACCGGCGTTTTGTTGTCATCTGCTTAAGCTATAAATAGGTTGTGACTACAAAGCCAGGCCTGCTCAGAAATTTTCGTATATGCGGAAACCCGCACCCAACATTCTTATATCAGGGTATCTGATTTCCTTGTATAGTGACGAACAATCACTGATTTTTTTCCAATCTTTTTTCAAAAATGTTCTTTTTTAATACTTAGGAAAAATTACAGATTTGTTCAATCCTTAGGAAAAAATCGAATTTTTAATCATAATTTCATTTTCCACATTTTTTTAGAAGCAATGTGGGGGAAAAAGATTGTCGCCGTTATGAAATGGATGCCTTTGTGAATGGATATCTTCAAGTCACTGAAGAAAACATGCCTGTCAAAAAAGCAGCAGGGCTTATGAATGTGCCGGGAACCACTCTGACCTTGAACCTGACAGGTCAGGACCAAGTGCAAGAAGTCAGACTTGTAAATCATACCATTAGAGGGAGGGGTTGTTCCTTTGAACATATCTGCAGAAGTGGTTTTGTTGAATATCAGAAATGGGGAGAATGCACAATTGAATGTAACCATTGGGTTCATTTGAAATACTGTACAAAGGTCAGAGTTCTAAGACGCCATGATGCATTCAACTGATTTTCCATCACATATTATTCCTAAACCTTCCAGAAAACTTTAAATGGTGAAAAAAAATTGATTAAATAAATTAAAATAAAAGCATTTTCATGACTGAAATATGGATTTTGAAGAATTGAATGTTATTCTTGGTTTAATATGAGTGACTTATTCATATTTTTTGTTCTTATGAAATTTGGACGTGGTATTAAATATATTACATGTCTGGGCCACCGTAGAACCAAAGTGAGTTGCCCAATATTAATGACGTCGCCAAAAAACGGAAGTGCAATCATTTCCAATACACATGTCTTCCGATCCAGGTGAGTGATTTCAAGTTGTTTTTGTCGGAGTTCTTTTTAAGGACACGAATGGAACACTCAGTAGTTATTTGCTTAAATGAATTAAAGCATAAACATATTTCTATACAGATTTTATGTACGTGTGAAGTATGTCATCAGCTGTTGTGTACTTTTGAAGTATGTCATCATTTGTTGTGTACTATTATAATATGTTATCATTTATTGTGTATATTTGAAGTATGTCATCATTTGTTGTGTGTACTTTTGAAGTATGTCACCATTTGTTGTGTACTATTGAAATATGTCATCATTTACTATGTACTTTTGAGGTATGTCATCAATTCAGGTGTACATTTGAAGTTTGTCATCATTTCTTGTGTACTTTTGAAGTATGTTGTTATTTCATAATTATCTCTCCATTGTTTGTGTTCTATTCTTAAAATCCAATAATTTCACTGTAACGAGTATATTAGTTTTGGTTCTTAACAATTTTTTTCTGATACCGGGGGTTTAGCAAATGTTTGAAATTTGAAAAAAAATGTATTTTTTTCAATTGAATAAAAGGATTCGAAAAGAACAAAATTCTACTGTATATCTACAACTCAAATATACTTTTTCTCGTAATAGTTTGAAGGAAATCCTGTACGTTGCATGTTTGTCGCTATATCCTAGTATATTCGATGTTCACGAACAGATGGGATGTATTTACGACACACCTACTGCAAGGATTGTTATTATAGATGGACAATTTGAGTCTTTATCCCAAATATACCTTGTGTATGTTTTCACATGTCGGACTAGCATGCCGAATCTTCTTACCATCTATATGTGTTTTGTTTACTCACAAACGTCTGGCTTCCAGTGAGATTAATTTACTGTTGACAGAAATATCAAACCAGACACGTAGCCAACGGATTTGATAAAAAGGAAACTGGGCAAATGAACGTGTTTTAAATACTAGAACTATCTGAAAGTTTCTAATGAAGTTGGACATAAAAATTGAAGTTACATCGTTGGACGTGTAAAAATTCATGATCACAAAATTCATCTCAGCCACAGGCCCTGGTCACAATATGTTTCCATGTGAGTGAATGCGTTCGGAAATAACTGTTTCTGCAGCATTATAACCGATCGTTTGTTACGTCAGTAATAAATTCGGCAAGAATTGGTTATATAATTTATCCTATTATGATTTGATATCGATAATGACGTCAAACTGATGAAATATCAAGATGGCTGTTTTCATGACTATCCAATATAAAGATGTATAGAGAAACATACGTTATGCCGCGGTGGTCGTTATAGCGAGGTGGTCGTGATAATGTTGTGATCGCTATAGCGAAGTGGTCGTCACGTATAGGTGGTCGTTATAGCAAGGTGGTCGTGACGTATAGACGGTTGATATAGCGAGGTGGTCGTCACGCAGACGGGGTCGTGATAGCGAGGTGGTCGTCACGTGGATGTGGTCGTTATAGCGAGGTGGTCGTGACATATAGACAGTTGATATAGCGAGGTAGTCGTCACGTACAGGTTGCCGTTATAGCAAGGTGGTCGTTACGTAGATGTGGTCGTGATAGCGAGGTGGTCGTGACATTTAGACTTGATATAGCGAGGTTGTCGTCACGTAAAGGTGGCCGTTATAGCGAGGTGTCGTCACGTAGATGTAGTCATGATAACGAGGTGGTCGTCACGTATAGATGATTCTTATAGCGAAGTTGTCGAAATTTATAGGTGGTTGTTATAGGAAGGAGGTCATGCCGTAAAGCTGGTCGTTATAGATGATTTTTCACTGTGGTAATAAGTTTTATGACATTTCATGGAATGGCTGAACTATTTCATGACGAGGGAAGAATCTGTCGCGTGCTTGTACCTGTAAAATGTTCTTACTACTCCAATCTGTTTCTGGGGAAACAAATCTCATTATCATTCCAAATACGATACAGCTTTGTCGATTTCATCGATCTAAAATCGTAATGAGCTTTCGCGGTCACGTGACAAGCTACCTGGATATTAGCTGTTTTTATTTTGGTTTATTTGTCGTGCTATCGGCAAAATGCTAAGTGATTAATATTCATATAGAGAGTTGGCAGAAAGTTATATTCATAATCTAATCTCAAGTGGTTTAGAGATTGTAGAGTGAGAAGTGGTATCTCCTAGGAAACCTGTTTATAACAAGAAATAGTGATGCCAACATATTACCCATCTGTCCTCATTTGGAAATAATCGACATCCAATTTATGTCAGTCACTCCCAAAAACGAAAAGAAAAGAAGAGGACAGTTATTACGGGATCAAAAGCCAAGCATGTAACTCCAATTTCTTTAAAATGACAAAAGAGGTTATAAAAAATCAACTAACAGGGAAGATACAAAGATGAAAATACATTATGCTGTGTGTATATTGCATTTTGCTAGTGTCTTCATAACAAATTTTGCAGTGTATTGTGTCATATTTGAACTTACTTTGCTGTATTAAATAAAAAATATATATATACATTCATGATGACAGACGAAAAACCTTTATGACAATGGTTAGTATCATTTCAATATTCAACATAAACGCTGAATTAAAATTGAAATTCAGTCACATGTATTCTTTGAGACTAATTGTTCAGTTAACGAAGGGACATCTGTATATGAATTTGCAGATTCCTCCATTCACTGAAACATTGATTAGTTTATCTATTCAGCTATCTAATCAATTTCATGGTAATATATCCGAAAGGGAGCGCGAGACGAGATTCGGTGATCCGAGACATTTACAGTGCAGAAAGGGCAACAGAAACGAGGTCGAGGCCGTCTAAATATAGGACTACGATCGATCTAAAGAGAACGCAACATCACACGTTGCAAGTTTCGTTCTAATTATAAATTATTTTCAATATTGATTTAAAAATATTGATACAATTTCTCGCAGTAGGAAATACAATGGGAGAATTTGAAATGGAGGTTACAGTAGCTTAAAGCTTGAGTGCCACTCATTACAGCTCTGTGTTTCGTTAAAGTTGTTGTCCTTATTGGTAACGAGCCAGGCTATTTAGCTAGAAAAACGCACGATCTGTAGGCTTCGATTTACCTTCACTTCGTTATGCCTCTCTGTCTGGGTCGTCTTTTATGGTAAAAGCGGAGAAGTAACGAAGTTTATCTGATTCAATGTAGCAAATCAAATATACAAACGAGCTGTTGGGACATACAGACACAGAACAAGCAGAACATGTACACAACACTTTGTCTTGCTGTTTGTATACTTAAATTGACTTGAGTAAGTCTTATGCTATAATTAATCCTATAAGTTTAACAACATTTCGTTTACATATGAGTATATATAATGAAGCCGAAAAATTACATCGTCCACTTTATACCTGCTCTGATCTAACATATTGTATTCACCGAAACGTCATATGTAAAAAAATTAATGCGATGACAATCAATTCAAAGGAAAAATCAACATAACAAATTTCC